AACGATGAGATCGAGAGCTGCCTAAACAATGCCAGACGACGCAGCCGGGAACGGCGTGCCCCAGCGGTTATCGTGGTGTCGTATGCCGGCAACGACGTGTGGGGGAAGCACGGGTTCGTCGGCAACACTTGGATTGACTCCAGAAGTGTACACCGGAATCCCGCTGTTCAGCGCGCTGCTTCAGAGTGGCAGGATGAATTAGCGAGGAGGCATTTCGCGCAGTTGGAGAGACTAGCGAACTTCCTCCAGCGCCCCGATGTGGGGGCCATATCGATCATAGCATACGCAGACGCGAATTCCTTTGGACTCCACCAAGATTTCGCGCGCCAGATGTGCTTGTTCGCTGACGCCGCCCAGAACAAAGGGTTGCTTGCTGTGACTGGGTCTCCGCTCACACGTGCCACAACTCGCTACGATGGGTTCCATGCAGAGGACAGCGATAGCAACAGGACTGCTTACTATCGCTACTTCGTCGCCATGGCAAGACTCACATACCAGATGTGGCGATTGAAGGACTGTGAAGCGCTGCGGAAGCAAGCTCGCCTTCAACCTGTCATGACTCCGAAAGAGGAGAAAGCCCGTGCGGAAGCCGAGGCCCGAGAGAGATATCGTGCGTCCTACGTGTTTCTCGAGCCGCATGACCGATTCCCTGAGAACAAGATTATGATCGAACCCAACCTTTGCAAGACATGCGTGTACGCTGATGGTCACGAAGTGGCACTGTTGGATGAGATCACTGGGGAGCATTTGAGGGCCACTCCGGAGGAACTGGAGCGGGCTGGTATCATTTTGCCCCAGGGAACTGGTGAGCCAACAGTTGACATCACCTCGTCACCTGAAAAGGACTCAAGCGTCAACGACCCCGTGGAGGATGACTTCGTTCCGGACTATGATCCTGATGACGAACCTCATCCAACTCAGAAGACAACACTTCTTGCGGAGCCAAATGATTCATGCCCTGACGAGAAGCTCATGAGCGTGAACGCTGGCAAGAAGGGCGCTTGGGAACACGTGTCTAGAGTAGAGATTGAAGAGTCAGACCTTCGTGTCAGATCGGACATCGACCAACCTCCTGAGACTGTCGATGAGATCATTGAGATCGTGGGCGATCACTACAAGGCTGCCCTTGCCGAAGGTTACCAGGACCCGCAGGATGACGCTCTTGAATCCGATGATGAAGAGATTGTTTTCAATCAGCAAATCGTCGGAGGTTCAAGCGCGCTGGAAAGCGTTGCCGATAAGATGAAGTTCAACAAGATCTATGCAGCCCAATACCTCGAAGGGGGTGCGTTGCATCTTTCGAGGAACCCGCATGGAGCAATCTCCATGTCGAGCAACGCCCTGCGCCATTACACCGAGGCGGTCACAGGCAGAACTCTTCCTTTGCACTTCATCGACGATGACGGAGACGATGATGAACTCCCGCCACCGCCGCCACCGGCGGAACCTTGCCCGTACAAACGGGACAAGGACGGAGTTCACCGCCCGGTCGCAGAGGAACTGCCTGCCCTCAAAAGAAAGACTGCCGCTGATCTCGGTGCAGCTCCTAAGGCGAAGGCAGCGCCAGACAGCCTCAAGAAGCTCCGAACTGGTGACAAAGTCGTGAATGTCGACATGTCCAGCTCGGCGGAAGCCGGAGCCAAGAAGGGCTCATCAGAGGTGGTCGACGTCGAAATGGAAGAAACGGCAGGGACATCATCATCTTCTGCCAATCCTCCCAAGGCGAAATACATGCCAAAGCCCTCATCCGTGCCCAAAGCCGCAGCATCGAGTTCTGCGGCCCCCGGAAGGGATGCGCCCAAATTGGTCCCAGCAGGAGGAACTCCGATCCGTACGACTATGCCGGCAAACCAAGTGCCTGGTGCCGCGGTGATCGGATGGTATGACCAGGAGCAGTTCTTTGTTTCAAAGCGTATCTCCGGCCTGCTGCGAGGGCATAACCATGCCAATCGACGAGATCGCATTCCGCTTCCGGACTTCCAAGATGGAGCATGGATGGATTTTGCATCGGTGTTCTCATTCATCAAGAGGAGGTACTCCCGCTCCCTCACTGTGTCGGACTTGATTGACATCGTGACGTCAAACCATAGGTTTATGCTCGATGTGCAGCTTGCCCGCGAGGGGGAACTCTTCGCTGAGAAGTATTTCTTCCTGCCGGTGCGAATCAAGGCAATCCAATCTCACAACGACTGGATTCTGGAGAACATCAACATGGCGTGGCCCGAGGTCGACAGAATCATCTGTCTTGATCCGTCGTTCACGATCGAACGCCTGCTGCGAAGGGAGCATCCTACGCTTCCAGTACGACTTGACTTGCACATCAAGGATATTCACCCCAAGATCTTGTACCACTACACTCATATCGCCTTCTTGGATGATGTGATCCGATGTGGCATTTGTCCGGGGGGACTCAGGACTAGCAAGGCTCATTCGTACTTCTCGGCTTTCGAGCCGTGGAGCATTCAGAAGACGAGTCAAGCAGGAATGGCCTCGACCAGACCAGTTGCGGTCGCAGTTGATGTTGAGATGGCGGTGTCATATGGAATCAGGTTCGCCGTCACTCAAAGCCAAGCCGTCGTGACTACTGATTGGGTTCCGAACCAGTTCCTCATCTATGCGTATGATGTGTCAGCAAAGTGCTTCATCTATGCGAACCACGATTATGCAAAAGAGAGAGCCTCATTCAATCAGGATCTCCGAGACATTGTCGTGCGTCGCCGGGAACGGCTTGACCGTGGTGATGAGGCAGATGACAACGCAAGAAGGCAGTCATTGCTGGCAAGGTCTAGGTGGGACCTGTTCGGAAAGTATGAGAAATGGGTGCATGGGGCCTGGGTGGAAAATGCCTTCATCCTCGAATCGTACAACCGTGAGTTCTGCAAGGACCAGCTCGAGCATGCAGATGCCAATATCGGAACGTACTCAACTCCTTACATGGCAATTGCATGGCAGCCGGAAGGCGACTCGGCATGGCCTCTCTCGCTGGGATCAGTTGATTGGGCGCATTGGACCCCTGAGATGGAGATGCGCTATGATCCTCGAGGAAACGAAAAGTTCTTCACTTCACGGTGGATCACCGTTCGCCAGCACGACGTTGAGCCACAGCATTGCATTGACTGCGGATCCGATTCCCCATTCGGATGTTTGTCGTGCTTGAACTGTGGACGACTAGCTCGTGTTGCAACGGATATGAGAAAGGCATCGCTGCTTGTCCGTCTTGAAAACTTGGCCGCAAGCTTCGGTTTCGACTTGTCATTGGACATGTTCCCGGATGACGATATTCGTGCCCGGGGGGACCGTGGGCTGAGGAATCCTGCAGGTGGTAGGATCAGGACTGGACAATCTGCCATTGCGACAATCCGAGCACACGCCAAGTCGCACATGGACAAAGCGTCCAAATTGGAATTTGGCTCGCTCACAGAGCGGTTGTGCTTGGACCCATTCTACGCGTTCAACTGCGCGGCGCAGGACATGTCCCCTGACTGTTTGAAGTTTTTGCAACGACTCAGTTCAGCGGTATTGCCCATTCCGACGCGCACCGCCCAACAAATCCAAGAAGGGGTAGGCGTCAATGTGAAAGCAAAGATCTTGATGATCCCCGACACATCTCAGCGCGAAGTCGATGTGTCGAACGAGGTCTTTGTGTTCTGGAAGAACAAGATCCTACGCCCTGGTGTCTTTGTCGGACTGTACGCGATGGAACACCACCGCTTTGAAGTCTTGGGGTTCTCTGGTTCATTCCTCTCGGAAGAGAAGGACGTAGAGAAGCTGAAGACGGAGTTTGTTGGATGGCTGTCATCCGACCTCCAGAGCATCCCGTCCTATGAGAACCTCGTGCGAGCAGACCCAAGGAACATCCATGTTCCGGAAAGAGAGGGTGTCGATCGAGCAAAAGGGAAAGGTAAGGGCACATGGCGCCACGGAGGTCGACAGGCCCGTGAGAATGCGCCTTACCCAAGGAATCGGTGGGCCCGTGACTGGAGGGACCTCGATGATGACGTTGGTACCATCCCAGGTTGGCACTATGCGGATTGGACCTGGTACCAAGATAACTACGGAGCGGACTGGTGGGGTCGCGGCCGATAAACCCCACCTATGCACGGCGGGAGCCGATGCCTTATGACAGTTGTGCTGTTCTTTTCATCTAGTGCTTGCGGTAGCGCATTGTCTTTCTAGGCGTCGACATGCTCTCGGAAGTCCTTGCACGCGCTGCGGAAGCAGTTGCCTCACGTCATCTTCTTTGAGGCGGTCCGCAATCTTTGCAAGGCTTAAATTCGATTTAGCCGAAGTGCACTCTTCCTGAAACGGAAGCATCACTAATTATGCCGCGTGGAAACGTGTGCCTACGTAAAAGGCCCATTTCCAGTTTGACGATCTGCGGATGCATGTGAAAAGAGCTGCGTCCGACTGCAATTCGTCCGTTCGGCATTATACTTCATAATCAATCGAGTTAATCGTCGTTCCCTCGCGCCTCAGGTCGGCAAAGATTCTATGAAAGCCGCAGGCACGTACGGTGTTAACCATGAAAGGAAACACCGGGGAACCGGAGGTCAGATTGGTATGCACGTTGTCCCGTGTACATAGTCGTGTATAGTGTTCTTCACTACCTTTGCTGCCAAGTGCGTTCAGCGGGGGGTGTATTTGCACGATTGTACACCTGTACATACCATATTGACCTCTATGTTTGGCTCAAGAAAAGGGTGCTCTACATGTTGGTACTTGTAGGCTGTTGGCCTGTAAATTCAGATTCATTCCCATATTATTGTAATTTAGTAGAGAGCGGACGTCGTGATTTTCAGGAATTGGGCCAAAACCTGCAAAAGCGATAGGCCCCTCAAAAGCGATAACCTTACAGTACTTTTCATAATGTCCTCTACTGTACTTCTTCCAGCCCGTTTTGGCAGCCGCTCATATGGCTTCTGGTCGGACACACCCATTCAGGCCCTAAGTTCCCTCCTCGGTTTGCCGCGCGCGGCACGACGGCTCGCTCCTGGCGCGTCAGGCCTGGCCATGCCGCTGGTCGCCCACGCGCTGGAGCAGCAGCGCCGCTTCGAGGGAGTGGAGGCCGCCGCCAAGGCGAAGGCGCAGGCGCACAGCTCGGACCGTGCCTTGCAAGCAAGGAGAGGCCATGAGGTGGTGAGGTGACCGGGAGATGACCGGGAGGAACGGGGAGGGAAATTTGGGAGGGAGTTGCGTTCTTTTTTGGGGGGGAGATGTTCCTTCATGTGGAGAAACTGGCGTTTGGAAGCGCTCCAAGCAGACCGAGGTGTTCAGGAGGTGGCTGCGTGGAAAGACGCCGTTCCTTGGAACGCAGAAGAAAAAACCCCGGAGGAAGCCGGCTCGGCCGGAACGCCGGCGAGTGAACGGTTCGGTTGGGGTGCGAGAAGCGAACTTGGACAGCTGACCATTGGCCCAGTAGAGGAGTGTTTTGTTTCCTAGTGATGTAGTGATGTGTAGAAGGCATGTGGTTCACCCCCAAACATTCACCCCAAGGGTTCAAGCGCTTTGTTTGCTCGAAACTCGACGTGGCTAGGTCGGAGTGCTTCAGCAAGGACTAGTGCCATTGATGCGCCGCGGCAGCACTGATGGGGAAGATGAGCTGCATCTGTCAGTGGCCACCCAGTTCTTGTACTGTTGGCTTTATGGGTTTAGCTTTGTTGGGATTAAGCCCTGTTGGATCTCTACAAAGCACAGATCTTCTTCCTGCGAGGACTTTGGACACATGGCATGTGTATGACCTCGTAGGGAGACCCGCCAGGGGTGGACTACACTACTCCCCGAACCGAACCTTCCAGGGGCGTCGTTGCAGGTGCGACGAAACCCGTCTGGACTCTAGGTCCACGCAGCTTCTTCCTGTTGCCGGTGTCCTGCGCCAGGGGAGTCCCACCCTAGGAATCAAAGACAAAGAAAGATACCGGCAGTCACAAAGGGATGCCTATTGGAGGATAGGGGTGCCCATTATCCACTCACTTAGGGACTAAACACCACCCCTTTGTGACTCCTGGGGGTCTTTACGGTCTTTGGTTCTTCGACTTGCAGGACACGCCGCCCACGTGTCGTAAAGGATCTTTTACAACGCGAGCCCACGCGCATTCAACTCCGTCCTTGTCCTGGAAAATACCTTCCCTTCCCTTTCCCTTCACACGAATGCTTCCAATCGTTCTTATCCGGTGAAAGGAGCAGCCTCTCAATCCCCCCCGGAAGCCGCCCAGCACGAACTTCGCTCGTGGCGTAGTTTGGCCCCGAATTCGCTCGGAGGAACTCCCTGGAGGGTGCTGAAGAGCTCCTCCAAGGGCTCTATGCTGCCCTAAGGGAGCCCCTCCGGAGCATGTTCAAGGCCTGACCTGACCGCTGAAACGTGGCCGGACGTGAGACGGCACAGGGAGGGCCCCGGTTGGGTGTGCAGAGATACAGACAAGTTTGGCAGCTGATAGCTTAAATATAATATATTTTTAAATGCTAGGTGAAATGAGAAAGGTCTTGCTTTGAATTTGAATTTCATTTGCAAGCAGGCATCTCCATGAATTGTAGTTGATAATGTTGATACCTGTCTGTCCTTTTGAAGCGTATTTCTAGTCAGGGCAAATTCAATGACTTCAAGCCGAATTCGTGCTTGTCACACTTTCGTGCCAGGAACTCCACAGTGGCTGGCAGAAGCACAGCCGCTACAAGGGCGAAACTTAGCCTCTGGTCCCCTGGCGGCAGACCTGCGCCGACCCCGTGGAACGTCGACCCGACCTACGGAGATCGGGTCGTAGCCGGTCCCCCCAGGCCGAAGGTGTCGCAAGGCCCGTGTGGCCGATGCTGATCGAGTGGAAAATGCCCGGTGAAACGATGAGGGATGGGAGTGCCGCAAGAAGATGGGCTAAGTAGAATCACAGAGAACATCAGAGAACCAGATTTGGTCATTCTCCTGGTCGTTCGCTGCATTTTCTTTTGTCTTTTCTTGTGCCTTGCATGGCCTTGGCTAGCATCATCCTAACACGTCCATTCGATGCAGTGCTTTCCAGAGCTGTCGTGTGACAAAGGTGTGTGTTGCTGTTGCCATCTCAGCTCGACTGCTTTTGGACGCGAAACGCACGTGTTTCGGCCATTGCCCCCCATTCAAAGCCAAAAGCCACGATGTCCAGCACCCATTCGGCTGTGCCTATGGAGGAAGCGGAGGAGTTTTTGGTCGTGCCAGAGGTGCGCCCGAAAGGGCCGCATGTAGGACGAAGAGGGCGAAGAGGGCCACCTTCGGCATGCGTACGTTCCTTGACAGATTTGATCAGTCCATGATGTCATGGATCGTTCGGAGATACCGTACCTTCGATCTCCTTTGTGGACGCTCGAGTCGTTGGGCCCCCCCCGGTTCAGTGGTGCACCATCCATCGGGTGGACCATGGATCGGGGAGGATCTGAAAGGTTTCAGAAAGGTTTCTAAAGCAAGAGTCACCTGTGGGACGGGGGTGGTTTTCAGTCCCCCCCACTGAAGTGGATGTGGTGCCCCCCCGGCACCCCTATCATGGGCTTGCCAGTGGCCGAACTCGGCCGAACTCGGCCGAACTCGGCCGAACTCGCTGGAAAGAAACCAGAACGAAGTTCACTTCAGAAGAGGAAGGATTCGGCCTTCCGGAGAATCCAACGACCACGTCTTCGCGATCCTCCTTGATCCTCAAAACGCCTTTGGTCGCGAAACGGTCGCCTTTTGTGCCGCAGGCCCCCGCCACGCCTTCAACCTGGCGGTGGAAAGCACTGGGCTCTGTGGTCGTCCTGGCGCTGGTGGCTTTGGGGCGGAGTGCAAGACCTCCGGGGCGTACAGTAACTCTCCAGTCGTTGCGTGAGTGCCAAAGCAGCTGGGAATGCTAGAGCATGGGATGCGCTGCTAGATCATCAAGTTTCATAGATTTCGTAGGCTTCTTTTTTTCCAGGTAATCCTGAATCAATTCACCTCACAAAGCGTCCACACATTGAGATCCAACACACTCCAATGAAGACAAACATGCCAAGAGACAAGACCAAAGACCCCTCAAAAAGTTAGACATACTCTCCTTGGAACTAACATGGAAGTGGAAAACACCCTGTTTGTAGAGGAAAATGGTCTTCCGATTCCAAGAGGCCATTGTCCACTTCCATGTTAGTTCCAGGGAGTGTAGACCCAAAAACACAAAACACTGGTTGTGCCTTGGTGGTGCCTAATCTCCAATCTCCTGGACCCCATCACTCCATGCTCGCTTAGTGGTACAGTCGGGCAGACTGGCCTACCTATATAGCAAAGCAGCAAGACCAAGCAGCAGAGGGGCCACCCCCCATAGAGGTCAATGCAGAATAATATGGGTGTGTGTGTATTTTGATTAGGGGAACTCCAACCAATGGGCTTTGGATGGCTTTGGTCTATTTCCCTTCTTCAACTGGGAGGTCTCCCTATTTTAATACACACCCATATCTCAGCTGGCTCAGAGCAGGGACACCTGAGGAATGTGCAGTGAAGAACATGATTTCCCGTCAGGTGGGCTGTGCGGCATTCGCGTACAAGACCATGCCTGTGCAAGAGCCCGCATGGCCTCCATCTTAGCATGGGATTGGAAGATGCTTCTTGAATATTTCTTGATATAGGCCTACCAAGAGCTTGTGCAAAGTAAGGGCACAGTCCACTTTAAGTTAGAGCATTTAATAAATACATGCACCCGGATTCTATGTCCCGACGCTTGAGGACATCCAGTGTGATGCAGACCATCAACGATTGGGAGGACATCCCTGGGATCGATAATGTCATCGAACATGCCAAGAGACGCTCGGTCGCAGCATAGAAAGTGTCACGGAGGGTGCGAGGGTTGAAGATGCAAGGTAATTGTGTCTCTCTACTGTTACAATTCTACCAGCAGTCGCTCGCTGAGCCCTCGAGCTGAAGCAGCCCCTGCGCAACCTGAACGACCTCTTCTACGAGTCCCAGCCGGAGGAACTCCCCTGGATCCGCACCGAGTGCGTGATCGACGTGGTTCAGGCCAACCAGTTGAGAAGGATTCAGGAGCTAGCGTAACTGGCCTGGAACCTTTTCTGAGCCAAGCTGTGCAGGGCGCCGCCTATTTGGGACAAGCTGTGGTCTTCTTGTACAAGGCCATGCTCGATGATTGGAGAAAGACAGCCTTTCCAGAGAGAGACTTGGGATCGGCGCTGCGACAAAGGTGTCGAAAGGTGTTGAAACCCATTCAGAATGGGCGGCAACCATGCAAACCAATCGGACCAGTTCAACAGGCGTTGATCGCTCTGCGGAACTCGTGGACGTTGGTGCTATGTGTCTGGTGGGACTCGGCATAGATCCCTTGAGCGGCTGTGGAGTCAGCTTGAACGATTCCTGGTCGAATGATTAGGCTGTTGTCACAAGACAAACCCTAGACTTCCTGGCCCACCATTAAATTAGTAGGGTGAATCCGGAAACAACTAAGGATTTTACACTACAAAACCAGGTTGTTCCCATTCTTTTTATGGTCGAACGGAAGTCTAGGGAAACAAATATCACATGTGAACTCCTTGGAGGTGTTCGGAGTTCAGCACCGAATCGATCCGAATCGATCGTCCTTCGCTCGTTCGCCCCGTGCCCTGTGTCGAGCTGCCAGGCCATCGACTACGACGGTCTCAAGTGCCCAAACAACTCTCCGGTGGGCTGCGCTGCCAGTGACTTGACCGCATGCGAACGAGAAACAAGAAGCTATTAGTAACAAGTGCATCGCTACTAGTAAGAAGGGCCTTACTAGTAGTAACAAGAAGCTATTAGAAACAAGAATTAGACTTTTTCCTAATAGCTTCTTGTTACTACTAGTAAGGCCCTTGTTACTAGTATAGCGATGCACTTGTTCCTAGTAGCGTCCCCTCTTGGGCATTGGAGACTTGAGAACTGGTCATGATCAGATGCCAAGCTGAAGATGCATGAGCAGATGCATCTGTTGTTCTTTGTGAAGGGCTCTTGGCTCAAAGCTTGGAGCTTCTCCACAGATGCTGTAATCGGACTTCCCACCTGCACTGACATTAAGTATGACAGCGCGAAGTTACCTTTAGTTTTGTTTGTTGAATTGACACCAGCAAACGACATGCACCCAATGCTCTTTCCTTGTATTTCCTTGCCACCCAATGTTGGTCAAATTAAATGCAAAGCTGAGGTGTCGCGGGCTTCATCACCTCCATCACCTGGATCGCCTCGTACCTCTCCTTCGCGGCCAACGCCTGTGGTGCCGCCGTCAACTCGGGCGCCCTCTGTGCGGGAGACTGGACGGCCCTGATGGCGAATTTTGGCGAGATGGCGACCGCAGCTTGATTTCAACTCTAAACACGGTTTTATTCGAAAGGGGTCAGGTAGGCAACGGCAGCTTGCTCTGCAAGCCTTGGATCATTTTGATCGCTCAGCCGTGACCTTCAGTGATCCCAGCCACAGCTATAGCCAGCCTTAGCCGTCATTCTGAAATCCATCCAATGTTCACTGCGGAAGTCCAAGGACTTGCCCTGGCGGCTCTTGTTTAATTCGAACTCACCGGTCGTGGCGTGTGCCGACCCTGCGTGCGCCAGGTCTTTACGGGTCTTTCGGTCATGTTCGGCGGCTCCTTTCGTTGAAGGACTTGGTCCAGGAAAAAGCCACGTGCGCTTCGACGGTCGAGGCATAAAACCTCTTTGTTCTTCTGCAGATTTTGGTGATTTGGTTGTTCGTCGATGTCCGGTGGTTGGCGTGGATCAGCTCGCCTTTAGGCGATCACACAAACCCTCACCCACAAGCATGCATGATACTAGGTTGAGGTTGAAGTGGTGGTTGACATAGAGCGCAGTTCTCTTTTGTCCCACCCTCCCTCCCTAGTTGAATGATCTGAACATCACACAGCCCATGTGCTGTGCCTGGTGGAGTTATGGGGGGCTCTGCTGCAGGTGCTGACCTGCCAGCCCTGCAGCATGCCCCCCCTTTGCCTGGTGGTCCTTCCAAAAAGGCGTGCTTGGAGAGGGAGGGTTCGCAGGCTCTTTTGCTTCTTCTTTTGGTTTCAAGGAAGAACTTGGTCTTGTGCATGTGGATGAGTGGAGCCGTCAAGCGCCCGCCCTACACGTGTCAAGCGCCGCGGAGTTGTGTGCTCTATTCCATGTCCAGTTCAGTTCGCAGGTAGGCGCCAGGTGCTTGAACACCCTTCGGCGCCCGGATCATGCCGCTGTTCGCTGTGCCTCCGTGCGTTGGTGGTTTCTTCCGCGTGGTACCACTCTCCCAGCCCTTAGTGAACTCGAGCCGGCCCAGCGGGCCGTCCTGGCTCACGCAGCACTTCAGACGCTCCCAGTTGGGGGGGACGCCTCGGTCCACCCGGCGACCGGTCGCCGCCCGGACCGAGCCGGACCTTGTGGACAACGCGTACATGGAGGGCCAAAGAAAAAGAACTGGAAAGAAGAGCATGCGCATCATCATGTTGTTGATGAAGTGCCTTCGTGTCATGCTTGAAGTGCCATGCACGACCTCGAATCATGCAGATGCTTTCGTCGGTGCGGCTTCTCGTGATCCTAGTTCCTAGTTATAGTTCTTTGTTAAGCCACACACACATACATGCACACACACACACAGTTTGCCACAGCGCAAAGGTCGGAGCGGCTGTGAAGGAGGATTGCGATTTCAACAAGGACAAGGGCTTTTTCAAGGCTGTGCGAGTCGCATTTGCACTTGAGGTGGGGCACATGTTGTGACTGTATAAGTAGGGTACCTTTTGGGAGGTTGTGCAAGGTTGTATATTGCTGTAGCTGGTAGCTTATTATAGAGAATATCGGCATTGGTCTTTGAATGTCCGGCTAACTGACTTTTTGAGTATCTTCTTTGGTTGGTTAAACGGTAAACTCAATTTTTTGGCTCGAATCTCCTATATAATTGGACATGGTTTGTTTTCTTCTGAAGCCGGACTATAGTTGTACTGATGCTCATCTGCAATTTTGTGGAAGGATTGTTTTCATTCTTGGCTCCCCAAATCCGCTGTTTTTGACAGGACTGGATCGCCCTGCTGCACGTGACCGACGCCAACCCCCTGCCGCCCAACTGGCAAGCCTTCGTCCCTGCTGGCGCCGCGCCCACCGTGGAGACCATCGCCAAGGTGGATGCGCTCCGCACTGTGCCTTGGCTGGAGGCTGGAGGGCCAGGTTTTCGTAGCAGATAGCAGACAGGCAAGACTTGTGACAGTCTGAGACGGACAGACTGGGTGGATCACCTGCCATCACCTGAACGCCATGGTGATGCCATGGTCCCCATGGTGTTCAGAGTGATATGTTTGATGTTCCGTCTGACTCGGCTGAGTCCAAGCGCAACCGCAACTTTGACCTCACCCAGTGCGTCATGGCGGACGTGACCAATGCGGCCGGGGAACCCAGCACAGTTGGTCTCAAGACTTCGGTCTGACCGCCCACCCAGCGCGGGGCAGCAGTTCTCCACAGGGATCACCGTGGCGCACTATGTGGATGGGTGCCGTGTAGGAAAGAAGAGGCTGGATGATGGAGAAGGTTCTCCTTGCAGTGTCGTCCTGCCATTTGCATGGGATTTTGTTTCCTGCCGCAGCATAGATGCCACAAAGATCCACAAAGGTTGCAGGGCTATGTATGTGTGCTGCAGAAAGCACATTGATTCAATATCATTCAATGTGGAAAAGGTTTGGAGATGAAGCCTGTGACGCTAGCACATGTACTTGTGTTTCCTTTGCAGCCACGTGTCGGCAGAAAAGTGGGCAAGTCGTTTTCTTTTCAAGCTCGTTTTGTAAATGGAATCTCGTTCCTCAAAGAACTTCAAAAGTCATTTGACTTAATGTGCTTTTTGTTTGCATGGTTTCGCAGTTTCGCTTCGCTATGACAAATGTTCTGGGATTCGGGCCTACGTCATGGAGAAGTCCATGGCTTCCTTCCATGAACTTGTCACTTTGGGCCTAGCACTTTCCTTCGATTTGAGTAGCTGTTGGATTGAACGCGGCTTGATCCACCCTTTTTGGCCTACACGAAGGTTTTTTCTGCTAGACGAGGGGCATGGATTCCAGCCCCAAAACCTCTGATGGATTGTAGCAGTGCCATTCCAGCTGATACCCTGCTGAGGCCTCCTACATTGTCCGCGTCATCCTGCAGATCCGCTCTGCGGCCAGCGCCTGCCCTGAGCCAAAGCCAGAGCCCAAGGGGCAGCCGATGATGGAATGTAGTAGTTTACTGAGTCCCTGGGCTTCCAACTGAATCCCGAATCAACTAAGGATTTTACTACAAAAACCATCAAAAACCAGGTCGTTCCCATTTTTTGAATGATCGAACGGAAGTTTAGGGGAGTGAAATGAATTTCTTAACGCCAAGAGTCCTGGAGCCGGGCAGGACGCACACCTGCCGAAAAGGGCACTGCCGCACTCGCGCACTCGCTGGTTCAAAAACGAGCGTGCTTCTGTTCAGGGCCTGCGCGATCAACATCATGAACATCATCAGCTCCTTCGCGTGGATCTCCCAATTCACGTTGCTTGGGCGGCACCAGGTTGGCAGGTTCATGGGGGGACACTCCCCGCGCTTGGCGGCTTGGGCAGCGCGCAAACCGGTAAAGGTCAACGCATTTAGTGTTGCACTTAAGCTGATAAGCTGATCTTGAGCTGGGGTGCCCTGCTTTCAAATTATGCCCGGTTTGTGAAGTCACAAGGTCTTAAGTCTTAAGCTCTTCAGAGTTGATTTCTCTCGATTTGTGCAAACTGGTGATGCTTGCAGGAAGTCTCCTCAGAGAGGGTCGTGGATAGCCCAACGCCGAAACACGGTTTTCCTTCTATCGTTTGCTTTCTACAGCTACTATTTGTACCAGCTTTTCAGTTAATGACAGTCAACAAAATTGTAGCCGCCCAGATTTTAGGTTAATGATGTTAATGTTAATGCGTTCCATTTAAGTTTTCATTCAGTTTCGACGATTTGTCGCCACCCAGGGCCTTGGCCGTCTCCGACTGCTGGACGAAAGGACCTTGGGCAAACTGGTCTGGTCTCGTGGTCAAAAGCGAGCAAGGGGCCGCTGCATAAAATGGGGTATCGTCGATATCGTCCAAACCCACTGAGAAAAGACCATTTTATATATATATATAATTTAATATATATTATACACATTCTTATATATTATATATATATAGATTATCCGCAAACCGTTTCAAATCTGTGGCCCCCAGGCCAAGGTGTTTTCTTTCTGAGCCACCAAAATGGATCGGCGAGGCCGTTTTGTTAATGGAACAACTGCCGTGAGGTGGACAAGAAGACAAGGTGTGGGGGGTTTCCAGAGCCTAGCGAAAGCGTGCTGCCTTTCCCAAGCCCAGTTCCAAAATTGGATCACTCTCCATGGATCCAGCAAATGCCTTCCATGCCAGGACCCTCCTGGCCAGGCTGTTTGGAGACCCTAACAGGTGGTTTTTGGGCACCTGTCACCAGGAAGCACCTGTAGAGTCGGGTCCAGGTGCATTCTTGGTCGTGTTCCTTCGCCCAGCCGTCCGGGTCGAGACAGCCGTCGAATTCGCATCGCCGCCCGCCGTCTTCCGAACGCAATGAAGACATGGGACGCTGCGAACGGAGCGGTCAGGGCATCGCTACGAACGGAGCGATCGGACGCTACGAACGGGGCATTTCGGGCCACCTTTGGAGTTTCGCGTGGCGTTGCGGGGTTTCCCCCCGCGTCGACGGGTCCCGGCAGGAAGCCAAAAGGCGCTCTGCGCTGCGGACATCTCGGTGCCGTGGGCAGCACTTCAACGAACCCGGTTTCGCACGAAAGCTAGCATGCTAGCTGAGTTCTTCTTTGCTTTAGCAATGTATTGGGATGGGCTGTGTGCCTTAAGCTAACCCTTGGCCTCAAGTTGAGATGGGGTGAACTTTAGTGGATGCTGTGGATGTTGGACCCCGCGGGTTGGCGTGCGGCCGAGGACATGGTGGCTGCTGTGACCAACGGCCCGGCAGCAGGTATCGCCACGACCTCTGCAGCTGGGCAAGAGGGTGAAGGCATGAAAGGCAGTGGGTCAAAACAGGGGGGCTCCAGGTTTTGACCCACAGCCACATGAACCTCAAATGACCAGCTTCTTCGTCAGCGATGTGCTTTGCTTCGTCAACTTTTGCTTTGGTGTGGAAGACATTCTGACTCGGCGACGAATGAGGATGAAGAACCGTGAACCAGCTTCTTCAGTACGCGACCTTTTGAAGGTTCCTAAGCGACCCTACTCGGAGGCTTAAGTGACCGAACCAACCAGGTTATTAAGTTCGGTCACTTTGAAGAACCAGGTAACAGGTTTCTTTTCTTTGTTTCCGCCCCAAAACTCCGCCGGTCCCATGTCCTTCAGGATTGTGCTGATATGCCCGACCCCGTGGAGGAGGAGAAGCATCTTCCCATGGACTAGTCCGACCGTCCGGAGGAGCGCCGTTTGGAACGCTTGCCCGTCTGCGCCCGCGGTCCGCGGCAGCGGTCCGTCGACCCTCGACTCGACTCGCGTCCTCCGCACTCGCCGCGGAGGACGCGGCTCTCCGGTGCCGTGGTGGCCGAAAGGATGCTCCTGAGACCAGGTGCCGTGGGGTGCAGCGTCGTCGACAGGGGGAGAGGAGGGGAGAGGAGAATGGTTGAGGATCGACACGCGACGGGACGGCTGGAAGACGTGCGTATATGGAAGACAGGCGACCGGGTCAAATCATGGTGTTTCAGGTTGTTTCCCAGAACCAGGCGGCGGTCTGTGAGGTGAGAGACTAGGGTTTGGTCCATGAAGTGAGAGGTGAGAGAGTCACTGGTCGCAGCTTCGGAAGCTGCCCGAGGCCAAAGGAGGCCGAGTGTGGCCGAGTGTTCTGCAAACTGGAAGAAACAACCATGGATGCTTCCCCAAGATGTAAAGGATTTCAATTGCCATGTTGGAACAACTATCTGTTTCTGGTTGGGACTGGGGTTCCAGGTGGACATGTTTGCTTCGGCAGGGCGGGCGGTGGATGTGCCAGGAGGCTGCGGTACCGAAATCGATTTTGGAGAAGACCAGAAGTGATCTGCTCGCCAGATGGTGCGAAAGGGAAGCAATGGAGTTGCCCCAGCAGACGTTTTCCAAACAGGATCCCGGGACACAGTTGCGACTTTGAGATGCACAGGGCGATTCAAAAAGGAGCAAAGAATACACGTTCGTTCTAAATTCATCTAAGTAATGCAGGGTCTGAGAGAAGCCACCTAGGCAACCAGAAGCTGAATTTGCGAGATCATGGCAAAGCTACAACTGCAACAGCGCAACGAGCCTATTTTTACAGAGCAAACATGACGAGGTTTAAAAACACACACACACACAAACAGCCTTTACAGATAGGGACCCTCAAGAAAAGCCTGATCTTACTCCGTTGATGCTTAAGAAGGCGCTTCAGGTTGCTTCTTCCGCAACTGCCTGTGGCGTTGTGGTCTGGGATCCACTGCCGTGACATCGGCCACCAGGTGCCGATGGCAGAGCCCCTGTTCACGAAAGGTAGCCCTTTAGGGGATACCTTGAGTTTGTCTTGCGAAGCAAGTGTTGGGACGTCCGGGTCTAATAATTGATCGCTCAATTCAGACCCCCCCCCACCCCCC